GCATGATCATAGAAGACACACCCACTATTGCCTTTCCTTGGAATAAAGGATGGGCATTGCGTGAAAATTTTGCATATGGTAAACGAGGTGGGGGTAAACGGATGTCAGATGCGGTTAAAAAAATGCTTAAACAAATGTTCTTGCAAGGGAATATTCATGCTAAGGACCGGATGATGGCTACTGATATGTATAATAGGTTGAAAGAATTTGCAAATAATGGTGAGTTAGAGCAAGACGAAGTGCCAAAAGTTTTAACAATCCAAAGATGGATATCACAATACCATAAAATGTTTTTGGAGCAGGCCACAAGAACTGCGTTAGACCCTAATTTGGATAATGGTCTTTCAACAGATAGTACATAATTGCAAAGACGGGTAGTATCGAATTAGACCAAATAAAGATTCATTTTTGTTTCTTGGCTTCAATCTAATTTATTCATATTTACTTACCCAGTTTTTTTTTAGATCTTTTTTTTTTTCTTTTGTTTCAAGCTGATTCGTTCGTAACTACCTACTTTTTTTTAGCTTTTTGGAGCCATAAAAATGGAACAAAAGGTATATGAGTTCTATTGAACGTTTTTATAGAACTTAAAAAGATAAGTACTTTGTGAATTTTCCTATTTGAAATTGTGATCTATGCGAATCAATACCTATTTTTGGACCAGAAATGCCACTTCACGTCAAAGTAAACTTTTTAGCGATTGAACGTTGCACCCTAAAACTTGTCCACATTATTACTCACGATCTAGTACATTAGAATATGGTGGAATTATTTTTATATTAGTAGTCAGAAATCACGTTAGCTTTAAACTAAAAAAAGATTATTCGATATTAATTAGTAATGATCTGTATCATCATTTATTAATAAATTGATTCTCATTTGGAAACGGATTTTCAATTAATTTGATAGTTAGTTTATATAGTATGTATTATAATTTGATCTTATAATTTCTATACAATTATTTCTTTTTTTTCTTAAGCAATCTGGTCTACTTTATTTAGAGAAGAACTGAAGTTTTTACATAAGTACTATAACTATTGCAACTATAATATCTCAACCAAAAATAAACCTTACCTAGTTTTATATATGCAAGTTTATGGCGAACTATTAACTGCTATATTGTATTTAGATATGATTTGCCATAGCTACACTTGGTTTTCTCCAGAGGTCTAAAACTTGCTTTGGATTTTTTTATTTAGAATCAATAGCTGGCATGTAGCCAGCCTTGTCAAAATTCTTGCTTTCTAATAGAGTGCTACCAATTTGATAATACTTTCTTATAAAGAAGAACAAAGAAAAAAAAATATATAAAGGGGTGTATATAAAAAAAAACAAATATATATATGAAAACAGGTACTAATATAAAAAGAAACTAAAAACAAAACAAAAATAAATTTAAAAAAAACTATTACTAAAAAGAAAAAAACTTGCTAACCAAGTAAAAACTTCTAACTATACAGAGTAATGAATTACTCTTATTATATTGTGAAAATCTTAACACAAAAAGAAAAACAAATGCACTATAACTTGTGCTAGAGGCTAAAAATTATATACAAATGACTACAGGATATTTGTATATCTCATTATACTTTGTTTGACTCTTCTGGTTAAATCTATATCGTCGTTCAAAAATATAAGAACTTTAAACTTCACATGTCACTATTTGGCAACTGTATGTGTTTGTATACCCTAAACAATTCAATATATAAGATATTTAATTGAAGTATTTGCCAGTTACTAACATTTGCTGATATTGTCTATTTTATATGTATTATTTTGTCATTATATAGTTTTTTGATATGGAAGTAGTAAATATTATCAATCTTTTGGAGAGAGTATACCAAATTCTCTATTTTTTGTCAAAAAAAAGATCAAAAGTTTTGAAAAAAAATATTTTGTATTTGTGAGTACTTAAATCAAAGAGAGTTTTTCTAGATGATACTCATTGTACTAACAGCTTTTAGCACTTATATTAGGAGTTTTTTACTACTGCTATTATTAAAATAAACCTTCTGACTTGGATACCAAATATGCAAAGAAGTCCACTAAAGAAAAAAAGCTTGACCCAAGGCACAAACTAGTATAAATATGCCTGCTTCTCGATATTTCACATATATAGCCTTCATCAACAATAGCATCTAATAGAATCTACAAGTGTTTTGAGGCTTTTAGTCTTTGAAACTTCAAACTGCTTTCAGTATGGTTTTGATACAAGTAATCATCAGGAAGAGTATGCTTGGAACCTGAATTTTTATATAATTACATTTTGATATTTATATAATATCAACTAATCAATTAGTCAATTAATCAATTAATTGACTAATTGATCAATCAATAAATTGGCTATAATTGAATTTTAAAAAATTTAGACAACTAATCAATTATATCTTGGGCTAATTTGTAATACTAATTACTATTACTATTTAGATAAATTTTTATATAATATTTATAGTATATCAATACTGCTAGCTTTAAGTTTATAACTTAGTCTAAAAAATCTAATTTTTTTTTAGTAATATATATATCAGAGCATTAAATCTAAAAACTTAATTTCTCACTATATACTAATATAAAATAGCAATGTTCAGAATCAATAAGCTTCAAATATATTTATTTTATCTTTATAAATTTAAAACAAATTTCTATTAATTGATGATTCTCTAGTGAACTGAAGAATTATCTTAGTATAATGCAACGTGATTCTATATGTAAATCTTTTAAGACAGAAATGTGGTGTTCATACAAAGAAAACTTTTTTCTTACCAAGTAAATTATTTTTAAGCTTTTAACAAAGTTGTAGAGCTCATCAAGATATATCTAATAGTAGTAAGATATTAAAATTGGCTTTGTGGTTCTTGATTTTTTTTAAAGAAATTTTATATATCAATAAAATATTTTTAAAGATTTCTCAACTACTAGGCTAATTTTAATGTTCTTACTACTATTAAATGCATCTTGATAAGCTCTACAACCTTTGTTAGAAGCCCAAAGACTATTTACTTAGTAAAAAAAAGTTTTTCTTGGGTAAACGCCACATTTCTTTAAAAAATCTCTATATTTCTATTTATATAATTTATATATAAAAATGCGTTGTATTATACTATAATAATTCTACAGTTTACTGGAGAATCATCTATTAAACAGGATTAAACAGGCTCCTAATATTTTTGTATTACAAATTAAAAATTTTATTCTTATTTTAATTACAATATTACAAATTACAAAATTATATATACTGATAATTAAATTCAAACTAATAATACATGAATATTATATATATAAGATAATATAAAATCTGATAGATTCAAAACTTACTAATAATCCTTTTTAGAATATAATCTTTTGTCATATCTTATAATTAATAATTTTAATACTGAAACTAAAAGTAAATAAAAACTTTATAAAACTTTAGATAAATAAAGCTCTAAATATAATATTGCTAATATAAAGTATTAGTTTATATTTATTATTAGTCTCACTCTATTGAATATTAATAAAGATACTTAATTTATAAAAGTAAAACTAGTGCAAAACATATATAAATAATATGTTGTATTTTCGTCTAATATATTTTTTATTACTATTTATTTATTTCTAAATTCCTATTATAATCAGCTATATTTACTTTCTATAAAAAATCATATTAATAATATAAAAAAATAAAGAATTTGAACTTATGTATTATAATATTCATTGCTATAGTTACTTTTTAAATTACAAAGTATTTATTGTTATGACCTTAACAAAAATCTTCTGATCGTATATATTTACTATTTGTAAATAAATAGAATCAATAAAAATCTTTTAATCTACTTTATAGAATCAATTTGATAAGCTAAAGATAATAATAAATAACATTATAAAAATTGAATTCTATAAAAAGAATATTTATTGAATCGAAAAAACTCTTTTTACTAATTATTAAAACACAAAATTCTGAAAACAAAAATTAACAAAAAACTACGAAAATACACAAAAGTCACTAAAAACCAAACTCAAAGTCTTAAGTAAAAAGAAAGAGAATAACAAGAAATACCCAGTCTTTTAAGAGATTTGAGTAAAAAAAGCAGAAGCAGCAAAGAAATAAAAGAAGTCATAAAAATTATCAATATTTTTTTGCACTTTGCGAACTTTTGGAAAATTGATCTTGATCCTAAATCACAGATCTGTTTTGGTAATACAAGAATCACAACACATAATAAAAATAAACAAAGAAAATATAATAAAAACCATATGATGAAGATAAACAAAGATGGTAAACAACAACAAACAATAACAACAAACAACAATAGTCAGAATACAACAAGTCATGTGAAACAAAAATTAACAGAATATTCTGAAAAAAACTTGTTATAGCAGAAATAGCAAAGATTAAATTAAAAAAACTATATGAAGATATAGAAATGTATAAACGAGATTATATTAACTCTGATACACCAGTAGATATAAAAGAGGTAATAGCAGATATCCAGAGCATAACAATAGCAATAATCAACAAATAATAAACATACAAGTAGAAGAAATAATAGCAGAATATGCTGGGCAAAAACTTATTCCAAAAGAAATAGCCGAGAAGTGAATAGTAGAACTCTATAAAGAATTATAGTACTATAACATAGGAGAACTAGAATATACAGAACTTGCACTTATAGAAAGAGAACATGAGGTTTTTCACAAAGCAATACAAAAAAGAAAAGATCTAGTTAATTGTATCATAATGTCATGCCCCAAATGACAATTTTTCCAGATGACAATCTGGCCAAAATTATAAATTAATTAGCTCAGACGTTAAGGTCAGATTTGGGCAATTTTAATTTGGGCTGTCCCAATTGGCAATCAGGACAGAATTATCATTTGGGGTATAACAATAATAAAAAAAATAGTTGGTTATATAGTAGAATTAAGAATAGCTGATAAAATTAGAAAATAAGTAGCAAAAAAGAAAAAACAACATGCTGAATTAAAGTCAAAACTAGAATTAGATTAAAGCAAAAAACTCTAAGAACAAAGAAAAAGCCAACAAAGATAGCACAACAAAACAGCCCTAAAGTCTACAGTATATCAATTCAAAAAATCTGTCAAGACTATTACAGCAAACTAACAGGAAACAAGAAAAAATTAAAAGAAGAAAAGAAAAAGATGCAAGGTCAACAAAAGAAAAAACAAGCTACTAAAATAAAATCAAGTTGGACTTAGATTAAAGCAAGAGGCTTCAAGAACAAAGAAAAGTCTAACAAAGGCAATATAATAAATTAGCATTAAGGACTCTAATAATATATTTTAAAGTATCTGTCAAATTTGCTGCAGTATATCAGAAAAGAAAAAAAAGAAAAATCAGAAAGGAAAACAAGATAAAAACAAG